ATGGCGGCTCCCCGCTTATGCAAATGAAGCCCGGGAAATTCAAATCCTGGGCTTCATTTGCAAGTGCGGTATGCCTACATTACCCCGCTAGTTCGAACTAGCGGGGTAGTGTAGACATACCCCTCGTGAGGTGAGCCGGCTGCACGGGGAGCTTCCTCTACTATTGACTAGCTCGGGTTACCCCGACGTACCCTGTTCAGATCCTCCATGTCTGGTCTGAAGCCCGTAAGCCGGGAAATTCAAATCCTGGGCTTCATTTGCAAGTGCGGTATGCCTACATTACCCCGCTAGTTCGAACTAGCGGGGTAGTGTAGACATACCCCTCGTGAGGTGAGCCGGCTGCACGGGGAGCTTCCTCTACTATTGACTAGCTCGGGTTACCCCGACGTACCCTGTTCAGATCCTCCATGTCTGGTCTGAAGCCCGTAAGCATGGTGACATCAAGGATTGACATTGTGGCGTTAACTTCACCGAGGTACCTAGCAAGGAAAAGGAAATGCCCTTGCATGAGGACGCATCACTGAGAAACCCATTCTGAAATTGGTGCTCCTCTGCCCCCTGCAGCCTGCTGGGCCTGGATGCTTCCATGTAGTCATAGACCCTCAACAAACCCAGCTGAAACTGTGCCTTGGTTTCCCCACCTGTAAAAACCAGGATAATGATCCCATTCCCCTTTGTAAAGCACTTTGGGATCTACTCATGATAAGAGCTGGGGGATTGTAATAGTCAATAAGACTGATCATTACTCTGTAGAAACCCATTCCAGGTACCACAACATCCAGAGATTCTGAAGCTTGATTGCGATCAACTGCTCTGACTTCCTGTAGAATACAATCCGTACAGCAGGGGTGGGGAGTCTATGGCCAGGGGGCTGGATGCAGCCCCGGCCCCTGAGACTCGGGGCTCCCGCCCCCAACATTGCGGAGCCCATGTTGGTGAGGGGTGGTATTTTTGCTTCTCACTTGTGTGCAGCCCCCAACTGATTTTTCTGTTGGTCAGCGTCCTCCGACCCAAAAAAGGTTCCCCACCCCCACTGTAGAACATCCCCAAAAGAACTCCAGTTGGGGCAATCGCATATCTCCCAGAACTCTCCCCTGCCCCAAATTTTGCTTTAAAAA